ATGGCTATGTCGCTGGACTCCCATGTAGTCAACCGCCGTTCACATCCCGGACCCAGTGGCTTAAAACTCACGCTGGGCGCATGGGTGTGTGTGCCCAAGATCCCGAGAGGAGAATGGAGGAGAAGGGATTGCAGCGTGGCCATCCGCCCTGGGGGGGTGATTTCTCGCTTTCTGTCTCTCTGTCTCTCTCCGTCTGTGTGGTGAGCGCTCGCGCCCTATCGCAAAAACCTCTCCCCCCCCAAAAAAATGCACATCTCTAGGCCTTTGAAGAGAATCTGACTTAATAGGTTCGCCAAGGATCCTGGGAATCTTCATTTTATTCATTGCCAAAGGCCTCTGATTCACTTTGAGAAATATTGCATCTCTCCCTGTCCTAGGTATTCCTCAGTAACCAGGGCTGCTGTATTAAATACCACTGGAGTTCAATTCCACAGAACATATATCTATGACCTTTAAGAGAAACTTTCCTCAACTGTTTGCCTTCTGCTGTCAACACTTCAATGGTAGATATGAACTGGGAGTTTTCTTTTTCAAGAACTGTGCCCTTTCGAGCTGGTCCCATAGTGGTTAAGGGAGCTGGATCTTACATGGCCCATTGTGGTTTGAATCCCTGACCTGGCAGCTTGAAAACACACTGGGTGCATGTGCATGTGTGCCCCAAATCCTGACAGGACGGAGAAATGAATGAAAAGGGTTTGTAGTGTGAAACACTTCAGAGGCCAGGGGGTGGGGTGCACGTGTGTGTGCGCATGGGCGTGCACGTGCGCATGCGCACACACTGTGTTTTCTCCCTTTCACCCCTCTGTCAATTAAAAAACAAGAGAGAGGGCAGTGCCCTTTAAAAGTCTCCTCCAGGGCCGGCAGCTTTCTCACTTTCTCTCTCTCTCTCTCTCTTTCAGTCCATCTGGGCTGCTGTCTTAAATACCACTGGAGTTCAATTCCACAGAACATATATCTATGACCTTTAAGAGAAACTTTCCTCAACTGTTTGCCTTCTGCTGTCAACACTTCAATGGTAGATATGAACTGGGAGTTTTCTTTTTCAAGAACTGTGCCCTTTCGAGCTGGTCCCATAGTGGTTAAGGGAGCTGGATCTTACATGGCCCATTGTGGTTTGAATCCCTGACCTGGCAGCTTGAAAACACACTGGGTGCATGTGCATGTGTGCCCCAAATCCTGACAGGACGGAGAAATGAATGAAAAGGGTTTGTAGTGTGAAACACTTCAGAGGCCAGGGGGTGGGGTGCACGTGTGTGTGCGCATGGGCGTGCACGTGCGCATGCGCACACACTGTGTTTTCTCCCTTTCACCCCTCTGTCAATTAAAAAACAAGAGAGAGGGCAGTGCCCTTTAAAAGTCTCCTCCAGGGCCGGCAGCTTTCTCACTTTCTCTCTCTCTCTCTCTCTTTCAGTCCATCTCTGGTCAAATTTAAATAAATAAATAAATAAAGTTAAATAAAATAATTCTTAAAAAAAGAATCATAAAAAAAGGTCTCGGGAACCAGCAGTTAGCGTAATGGCTATGTCGCTGGACTCCCACGTAGTCGACCGCGGTTCGTGTCCCGGACCCGGTGGCTTAAAACTCACGCCGGGCGCGTGTACGTGCGTGCCCAAGATCCCGAGAGGAGGATGGAGGAGAAGGGATTGCGGCGTGACCATCCCCCCTGGGGGGTGATTTCTCGCTTTCTGTCTCTATGCCTCTCTCTGTCTGTCTGGCGAGCGCACGCGCCCTACAGTGAAAATCTCTCCAAAAAAAAAAAAGGTCTCTTCCACTTTTTTTTTTCCTTTCACCCACTTCCCTATCATCCTACAATCTGAAATGTCACCATTATTTTGTGGTTTCCCAAATGCCACCTCACAATTGATTCCTTCTTTCCTCTGTGATCATAAAGCAATTTAAATACACCCAGTGGAGTGCAAGTAATTATTTAACAATCAGATTTTAAAAAAGTGAGATTTTAGTAGACTTTGCCTATTTCCATGGTGTAAATACTCATGTCCCACAGTTGAAGAGCTAAATTCAGCGTTGGAAAGAGCTGCCCCCGCCCCCCGTCAGAAGATGGTAATCACTAGCTGAGCAAATCATGATACACTTCTGCTGTTTCACTTCTACATGGTATAATAATCATACATTCTTGAGTCTATCTCTCCTACTAAGCTATAAAACTCAAATACAAGAACAGCGTCTTGTTTATCTTTGATCCCAGCTACTTTCACCATACATACCATGCAGTAGATGGTCAACAAACATTTGTGGAATGAAAATGAAAAGCAATGTGAAGCTTCCCCCAGACATTAAGATAAATCAGACTACTGGCACTATACCATTAAGGAAAGGAAAAGAATCTCTTGAAAAATTAAACTATTAAAATTATTTTTACTATAATTTACTATATATTCTGTAATTATAACATCAACAAACACAATGCCATCTCCCATACTGATACTCCCCTATTAGAGCTATAACCAGGTCAGAGTGGGGACCAGCAGGTGGTGTGGTGGTTAAGGATGCTGGACTCCCACATGGCTGACCACAGTTCAAGTCCCAGACCTGGTGGCTTGCTTTCTCACGTTCTCTCTCTCTCTTGTTCTTGCTCTCTTGCTCTATCTCTCTCTGGTCAAATTTAAATAAATAAATAAATAAAGCTAAATAAAATAATTATTTAAAAAATATAAATAACTAGGTCAGAGTGAAGGAGAAGAAACCAGCCTTCTAAAACAGAACCTCAACTTCATCAATGTATTTATGAGGTAGTGTATGTTTTTATGGTGTTACATAAAGGTATCACATACTTTTGCATGTACATACTTTAACATCTTATCAGCTATAGTATATAGATCTTTAGGAGAAATAGATGAAGGGTCTTCCAGTTGTTGATGAAGAACACATATGATGCAAAAAAGTATGCATAGATTGCAAAAACTTTTGCACCAAAATAAACTAATACTTTAATTCCATTTCCCACAAACTTTTTGAAGTCTCCTCATGTATGATAATCTCTGGTAAGTATATGAAAAGGCATTTCTGTGAGTTAAGAAGTATAGTGATCAATGGTACTTCTCTCCATCATTTTCTCATTTTGCATTAGGACAGGCATACTAATGATGGTGTCATTGAAAAACACCCCTATGACTGTCTACTATGAGCCATGAAAGAGCCAGGCACTTCACGAATGTGCACCATTTAATCTCCACCAAAATACCAAAAGGTAGGCATTACCATCAGTAGGCAGGCTCATGG